TTTTGTCTCCTATTCTGTACAATATCTTCGCTTCTGATCAACCAACTACCCCCAATACATCCGTAGCTGACTACGCTGACGATAAAGCAATAATATCTATTAACAATGATCCATTCATAGCGTCATATAATCTCCAAACTCACCTTGACCACATGGAAAAATGGTTTACTAACTGGCGATTCAAAGTAAACCAAAGCAAATCTGTACATACTACCTTCACCCTCAAACATGCTTCCTGTCCTACAGTTTTTCTATACGGTATTCCTATCCCTTACTCTCCAAAAATCAAATATCTCGGGCTCACTCTCGACCAAAGGTTAACCTGGGCTCATCACATCAAAATCAAAAGATTAGCACTGAATCATCGTCTCCGTATCCTCAAACCCTTAATAAGCAATAACTCTACCGCCATTAAAAACAAAATTCTGATTTACAAAACACTTCTCAAACCCATTTGGACATACGGACTCCAACTTTGGGGAAACGCTAAAAAGTCTAACATACTGAAAATTCAAACATTTCAAAATATCGCTCTCCGAAAAATAATGAATGCACCACCCTACGTGTCTAATCACACCCTTCATACTGACACCAAACTCAAAACAATTAACGACGAAGCCAAAATATATTATAAAAGATTCTATTCCAAACTAATTAGCCACCCTAACGAACTCATAAAAAACTTATCTACTCCTTCCATACCTGGTAATTCCCCTAGACGCCTGAAGCGTAAGTGGTGTCGCGATCTCTTAAGATAAGCAAAAAAATAAAAAAAAAATCCATAGAAAGTGCCATCGATGGATGGCTTCTTTCATCAAATTTCCATGTCAATCTTTGTAACTTTCATCATATATGCTTATTGTGTCTAGTCGATACAGATTGTGTATTACGTTTAAAAATAAAAAAAAAAAAAAAAAAAATATTTTATTTATTCAATACGAGATTACATATACCTGCTATACCAAATTCTAAAAAAAGACATTCATTAAAAATATGTGATTTCAGATAATTATTATAAAAGTCGATTTTAACAACTGTGTATCAATTAAACATGTTTTAAAGCAATTAATTATATTATAATATACGTATTTATACATTTTAAATAATAAAATCGTTTATGGTGAAATTAATTATTTTTTTACAATAATCTGATTAAGATATTTTACGTTATAAAAGGAAAAGAGAATATTTTCATTAAAAACGAGATTAAATAATGTTACATATATTATACTGAAATACCTATGCCGTTACACATATTACGCTGTAAATTTTAATTTGTATAATATTGTTGTAAACAATTTTATTTACGCATTCCTAATATTAAATATTACACTTCAATAGCAATACAACAATTCAAAGTTAATAATAAAATAACTGATAAAACCTTTTACGTTGGAAAAGAAATTTAAAAAAAATATATATTTAATTATACTGCAAACTGATGATCAAACAATGATTTATGCACACTAAAAACTGTTGTACCTATTTCAACTTTCGGAGTTCAGTCGGCTTGAGAGAATGGCGAAGAGTTCAAAACCATTGGGTATTACATTCCATTACAGTTTTTTTTTCTACCCCAAAACCACGGACTAAGATATACTTGTTCCCTTGTTCCCTTAAAAATCCATAAGTGGAAGGTGATCTGAAAAAAATTAATAATTAATATTTTTGACTGCTCTTTGTCTAATTGAATATTTTTACCTTATTTTCAACAACATGCATAATAAAATCCAATTCTCTGAATAACGTCTATTTTTTAAATTGGTGACTTTACTAGCATTTACGATTTCTTGGACTATTGTTTTTTGTGAACTATTTAAGTTTGTATGTTCAACTAAATCATTTAATGATTTATTTATTAAGTTCTTTGATTTATCTTGTAGTTCACTCAATGTACAATTTAATTGGTTAATTTGTAATTTAAACTTTTGAAAAATAAAATATTAAAAAGTATTTTAATAAATAAATACTATAGGTAATTAGTTTAAATTAATTTTAACTTTTGTTGGATTTCTTAACATTTTTCGATTTTTTTATCATCCCTCTAATTATTTTGTGTCTTGTAGGAGTGAGAGTTGTTCCAACATATGTTTTAGTTCTTATAGATAATCTTTTTTATACTCTCTAAAATAAGGGAACAATGAATTGCACCTTTTACATATTTTTTTTGAACTTGTTAGAATAGAACATTCATTATGGCGCCAGGTTGTATTCTCTAAATAAGTATTCTTAACCCGAATTCCTAAATAAAAATTGGTTTAGGTAGGTACCTATACAGCTGTTTTATTTAACATTTAAAACTCATACCTGAAAAATGTATGACACTGGAACCTCCTTGGCATATTTCTTTTTGTTCAAACAATTGAAGGGTTTCAGTAATTTGCAATGTATCAAGTGGGTATGTTAATTGTTGTAGACCCAAATTTTTAGGATTTCGACGCTTTTGATTAACATAATAGCTCACTTTTAAACTATTTGATTCAAAAACAATTTGTTTTTCAATAACAATTTTAGCTTCATTAAATTCTATGAATTTAATCAGCTTATACAATGCAACAATAGATACATCCATCATGATATAATGACCAACCAACTGGCAATAATAAACTTTCATAAAACAGTTTTGATTCCTTTAATAAATCATATGAACTATGAAGTTAGGTAGGTATATATAAATTAAATAATCTACATGGTCTATTATGACAATTAATCACAAACATACTATTAATGTTGGTGTTTGACATAGGTATAAATCTCTTAGGCTTGGGTTCACCAAACAATTCTTTCCTAAATGACTCAGTAACAGGTGTACAAGATTCTCGAAGTTCTGCAGGCAAATCATTTGTTTTGTGAATATCAAATGGTGAATTAAATACTGATGGAAAAGCACCATTTTTAGCCCAATTAAATTCCTTTTAAACTGTGTATAGAATTATTGAGTTATAATTTATAATGACCAAGTAGGTACTTATATAGTACCTACCTAAATGGCTAAATACAAATAATAATGTTTTCTTACTTGCAAGTCATTACACCAATTATAACTGTTAATCAAATCTTCTTTCCTAAAATGTTCTATATAGACGTATGTAACTTTACGTTTATGATTACCATTTACTTCATTAATAATTTCCTCCCACGATTCTCGAACTTTAAACAACTGAACATTGGACCGTTCCTTAGTGGTACTCAGTGGCGTAGCCAGGATTATGAAATGGGGGGTGTTTAAACTTTAAGTATAGATTAAAACCAAGTTTATACAGTTTACGAATATAAATAAATTTTGATTTGTTGCACTAAAAATGATCGAAATATGCAGTCAAAATATGCTTAAATATATGCAGCTACATTTTTATATTATTTTTGAAAAATTCATAAAACGTACTACAATTTTGGTACTATAGGTTAATAAATAAGTAATAACCAATAACGCGATATGCAAACACCTTAATAAACGAACACGTATCTACTGATTTTCATTCTTCGTACAATCTAGAATCTAGATGTCAATTATAGTATTAACACAGTCTTGTCATAAAGATACTTATATTATATAGACTTATGTTACGTACTATATGCGAAAATAGGGCCAACCTTAGCCTAGCTCCACCAACAACTTTAACAAGCAACAGCCTTCCAAAACATTACCTTAAATTTTTTAAGCTTTTTAAATTTTATAATAGTATGGTCTTAGGCTACGGCCTCCCCAAATCTCAAAATTAGGGAATATATTGTACCTAACCAAACAATATTTTTAAAGATATTTTTCAATGTTATCCAAATATGATATTTCCCGACAATTGTATGTACATTTAAGTTAAAAAAATGCAAAATATGCGAAAAATAGCTCAAATGTACACTTTTCCTAAAATATGCAAATTTTGTTTGATAAGACATAAAAAATTTCATAAGACAAATTTATAACTTATCTAAAATAATCCACGACCACTACAGTAAAACATGCAAGCAGTCCCGAACAATATAAACAATATATTTATTAGCGGGGAAAATTTCAATGGGGGTGTTTAAACACCCAAAACCCCCCCTTGGCTACGCCACTGGTGGTACTGGTACATAAAAATACTGAACATTGGCGAGGCATTTTAATTTTATAACTTCAACACAAATGTAGAAAATAGTCGTAACTATTTAAATAAATCAAGCAGTAGATCTAGACGCTCTAGTAAGTAGTAAGTAAATTTCTAAAGTCTAAATACTCTACTATTTACTAATGGAATGAATATAAAATATGCAATCAGACCAATGTAAATTATTTTTCTGTGCCAATGTATTTATAGAGAAGTAATGGTAGATGAGCTATAAGCCTACTAGATAGCGCTAGGTGTCCCACATGTACCTATTGAAAACATTTGGTATCCAGCCCTCTACCACCCTCCAGCCTTATCGTTACCAGTCACAGACTTCTATACTACACTAGATAAGGAACTCTTATACAATGTACATTGTTACAAGTGAAGCTCAGCTGTGAACGGCCGCCATTTTCTCGGTTGGCAAAACATTTCATTTATTATACAAAATGTATTAGGAATAATATTTTTTTTAACGGTCAAATAAAATAGTAAATGTAAAATGACTTATATCAAATATTTTTTTTTTTTTGTAAACTTAATGTTTAAAAATAATAAAATACGATATAAAATAAATCATAATATCATCTTATTTGTCATATGAAATACCATACAACTGCCAACCGACCTTGAAGCTTCAATTCATGACCGGAGTTCGCTATCTAGTAATATATATAGAAATCTGTGTTACCAGTCCTGTATATCTTAGTCCGTGGTGATTATATTAAACCGTGACCGTGATTATGATTACTTATTTGATAAACTGATAATGGAACTATGATAAGGAAACTGCTCCAAAGTCCGAGCCCCGAGGACGCTGCCGTACAACTGTACAAGTGTACAACTGCCGTATATTTTCTATGGTCTGTTACATAAATAATAATAAATATTGGACGATATAAAAACGTTACAATGTTTAAACTAATTAAATTAAATTATGTCCGTAGTTGTGTTCAAATACCAAATAATTCATATGCATCACCTAGTGGTAAGTTATATCATACATATAATCTGTATTATACAGTTTTTTTTTTTGATTTACAGGCTTAATACCTTTTAAACGCTTTTACCAAATCTTTCCAACTGTCGCGATTTCTTACTATTTCTATAGTTATCCTATTGCCCACTTCTTTTGCATCCTTGATCACTCTCTCCAGCCATCGTTATTGGGGTCTTCCTCTTGGCCGCTTTTTTCCAGTGTTCCTGACCAGTGCATTGCGAATAACGCTTTCATCAGCTCGTCACACATGACCAGCCCATTTCAGTTGTTTTGCCTTATTACTTTCCAATGTTTAGTTTTTTGTATAGGTTTTCTAGGTCCACATTTTTCCTTCTTTCATACTCTCCATTTTAGTTTCCTGTGGGCCCGTGTATTTTCTGCAAAACTTTTCTTTCTACCTTAATAGCTTTTCTCCATCTCCTTGCAGTAGTGGACCAGATTTCACATGTGTACATTGCTACTGGGCACAAGTAACAAGTGTAAAGTTTTTTCATAACATCTTGGAGCTCAACATATTGTTCATGGTGGAATATATATGTTTGCTGCAATTATCCGTGTTTGAATCTCCTTATGCATATTATTCTTTTCAATAATATTAAATTTAAAATATTTGAAATTTTCCACCCGCTCAAAGTAATATGGTCTGACTTTAAGGTTTGTTTTGTTTACGACACTTCTAGTTGTACCATATATTTAATATTGTCTTCATTTATGTTAAGGTCAATCTTTTTACTAGAATTGATTAGATTTTTTACAGTGTACACTATTTCATTCTGGAGTCTCCCAATATACATAGGGTACCTACTCCCTGTATTATACAGTTTACTCCACTCCAAAAAATAGTACCCACTTTCTATGCATCGTATTTGATAGTTACTATAAGCACCAATTTTATTAGTTAGTAACTAATAGTTATTAGTTATTAGTTATTAGTTATTACGTATTTACATTATATTAACATTTAATATCTACTGTTTCAGGAATTATTTCATTGGGAAAGTCTAAAAAAAAACTGGGCAAAGGAGGTCCAGTTTTAGAAAAATCTGAAATTCCTGTTGAAACAGATGCCAAAAAATTAGTCAATTTTGTATGCGGGAGCAATACATTGAAAGAAGGACAAGATATAGAATTAAAACCTGACTCAGAGTATCCAGATTGGCTTTGGAATTTGAATATAGGTACCTAATATTATTAATAATAGTAATATTAAATTTAAATCCTAATTTTATATCACTCAGGTATAATTTTTGTTGTCAACTATGTGAAAAAATAAAAATGTTGTGATATCATTTTAGTATTTTACAATGTTGTAAAGTTATTATTATTTCTATCACAAGTATTTTATAATTGCACTGTTAAAATAGGTACTTTTAACTTTTTAAAAACTAAAAATGATAATAAATCATTTTACATCTTAATTTATTTATTGCTAAATTGTAAATAATCCAATATTACACTTGTATGGTATGAATAATATATTTATATATATGGTAGGTGTGTCATATGTATGATTTTCAGAAACTTGTTATCCTTTAAATTTCAAGAATAGTTTCTTGTCTTTGCAAACATGTATTTAATATTCTAACTTTTTGTTTAAAAAATACACACATTATGAACCATACTGCATTCACCAAGTGAATATAATGACTACTTAGCGCATAAGACTGCAGTTCTGCCCCAAGACCCTAGTTGTTATCTTATTGGTAAAATCGCTTAAGTAAAAAATTAATAGTTTTGATTTCTGTGCACTTATATTCTCTCGGTGAATATGGTAAATACTAAATACATGAACAAATTAAGTTAAATTGATGGTACCTATATAAATTTATTGTTATAAGTTGTTTACAATAATCATGATAAATATGGTCCAAATGCACTTTAGATATAAATTATAATTAGTTTAACTATAAAGATTATTCCCATTAGTAACATACTTAAAAATAATGCTTACATTAACTTTGATTTTAGATGGACCAGTACCGTTACAAAAATTGGATCCTAATTCAAAACAATATTGGCTCAGAGTACGAAAATTATCAATGAGAAGAAATAACTTGTTAAATAAATTAAAAAGGTTTTAGGCTTATATAATATGATAGATATAATATAGGTACAAATAGTGATTTCACTGGCCATTGTATATTTTTAAATTCAATATTAATATTTTATTGTTTAATAAAAAAAGTTGAATTTCTTGATTTGTAATTATTGACATACAAATTATATCATATCTTTTGTCCTTAAATAATACTAGTATGAAATGTATTAGCATCAGTTCAATATATCTTATATTTTTAAATGTTTAAAACATCATAAATGTATTAGGTATATTTTAACTACATAAATTATTGACTATTAAAAATATTTGTGAATTAACTTTTATTTTAAGTAAATTATAGCTTATATAAGTCATTGGGTGTATATTATGTTCAGGGCTTTGTTTTTTCTAAAATGTAGGTTCATTTCTATAACTTCATTATATTTGAATAAAATAAATTAGAAAGCTATAAAGCAATGTAAATCCTTGTCGAATAAAAAATTGTCAGTCCCTAACAATATTATTAAAAATAATTACCATAAATCATAATATAAACGTGTAAATTAATATAAGTAAATTACTTATAATTTTCTAATCTTATATACATGCTCAAAATAAAAATTGATGTAATTATGTATAATTTATGGCTATGTTTAAATTAAATTAAAACTAATTTATCATTTAAAAAGTTCATGATGACTTAAGTGTAGATTTCAATTATGAAGAAAAGACTCTGAACCTTGAAGATAAAAATGGCCCAGAATTATCGCCTCTGCTAGAATGACAGAAGTGATGTCATTTTTAAGATTCCGTACTGTAAAACGGAAGCTTATTACTAAGGCTCCGTTGTCCGTCTGTCACCATGCTATATCTCATGAACCATGAAAGTTAGAAAGTTGAAATGTTCACAGATTATGTATTTCCGTGGATGCTATAACAACAAATACTAAAAATCCTTTTTTTTTCGAGTTAATCTTGGGAAGGATGAGGAACCGCGTTAGCGTTACTTCTCCTCAATACTAAAAATCCTAGAATATATAATATAAGCAGTGTTGCCAACATAGCTGATGATGGTACGGAACCCTTCGTGCGTCAGTCGGACTCACACTTGGCCAGTTTTATACTATGCACTGCATAGTTTATTTATTGGTACTTATTATTTTAGTTCAAATGGTAAAATATATTTATAATTGTTTAACCAAAATTTGTTATAAAACAGTTTTTTAATAAAAATTTCCTTGAACGAAGTACTGTTCGTTTAAAAACAACATCAATACTGTTCAAAGTGTATGCAATAAATTCAAACCATTTATTTTTACTCCAGCCGGCTGTGTTCAGGTCCTTCTTTTAATGGTCTAATGTTCATAATTCCAATATTGTGCAAAAATAATAATGTAATAAATAAATTAGAATTGTATAATCAATGGAATTACACTTTTACCTACGGTGTGTACTATGTCTGTATATAAGACAAAACCATGCTATTACCTAAGTATAATCAATATATTATTAATTATATTCATCTACTATTTATCCGAGCTCTTGACCAGATAATAATAAAATAATTCACCAACAGATAGCGCTTTAGATAACATTTCAAATTATGGTATTTTTTATAATAATGTTAATATTGTGTTTATGGAAAATATTATTATACAATTCATTGTTCTTCGGGTTCTTCCTAGACAAGTAAACAGCAAAAAAACGTAACATTTTTCAAATATTTAGTTGTCTGAGATCTTTTTTTTAATTGTTTACGTCTATTGAATCTATGAGCCGATATTATAATATTATTATTTATTACTTTTTAACTTATTAATGTCTTGAAAAATACGTAAGTTCACATTGGTAACTTATAATTGTCAACAAATAATAAATTATTGTTTTTATTACCAATCGAGATTCGAGAGCCGGTCTTGGAATCGAAATTAAAAATACCGGTATTTTAACCGGAACCTATTGAAAATATTGGAACCGGAACCTTACCGAAACCCTTTTTTGAAGTTATTAGGAACCTAAACCGGAACCGGAACCGATAATTGTCGGAAGATATTTTTTCGGTTCTAGTTTATTTATATATTTAATATATTAAAGTAGGTAATACGTCATGTTAAATAATAATAATTGATTCATAAAATTTGGTTGTAAATGTATACTGATCAGTTAAACTGTTTTTTAAATACAGAATAAAATATTGTTCATAAGATTATTTTAATTTATTATTTCATTGAATTTTTCATGAAAAATAAACTATACGTTTTGTTTTTTAAACCACTAAAAATACAATTTTTCAATGTCTAGCCTAGATTAAAATTTAAAAGTAAAATAAATTATATTTCAGCAGAGCTGTAGCTAGGGCTTGGCGAGACTGGCCCAGGCCAGGGGCGCGAAATCCAGAATAAAATATACCATACAATATATATATATATATATGTGTGTTATTATTATTTATTGGTATTCTTAATTTACATTTTACTAGAATATGCACAAAATAGTTTTATTACTATAAGTAGGTACATTATAGTGATTAGTGACTATATACCTACTATTTTATAGTGTAGCCGTGTAGGTATTGTATATTATACAATTATTACAATTATTATTTACAGGTGTTTAAGAATAATAACTCATTTTAATATTACGTAATATTAGGCCCGGGTACCCGAGTGATATTTTAAGAACAGTTAGTAGCTGATAAAAGTGTGTTTTTATTTGTGTTGATAGTTGTTTAAACTGCTGCTTATACAACCATCTCGGCACGCAAGTCAATTATCAACATGGTAGTTTTGAAAATCGATCATTATTATTAAATATTAGCTGCATGTAGTTAAAATTAGGATTCTAAATTTATTATATTTTAAAGACTCCCTTATTCCCGTCAGTCGTCATATTTATAGGTAGGTAGATACTCCTATTTCAATATTTAGTCATTTTATATTAGTCAGTGAAAGGAAGAACTTCCACAACAGTTCTACGGTGAATTCCTAATTATTATTAATTATAATTATACAAAATTAAATTAATTTACTTAATTGTAGTTCATAATATATTAATATAAGTATTAAGTTGTAACCTAGGTTCAGTGGCGTCCTCAGGGGGGGGGGGGCTAAAGGGCTGAAGCCCCCCCCCATTGCCCGTATTATTGTTACTTTTTCAAAAAAATATTAATCAAGTTAAACTGTCAACTATAGTAAGCAAGAAGTAAATTTCATATATGTCTTACCAGAATGAATTCATTTTTGAAAGAACATTGTATTTGCATACCAATTTTCATAAATTATCTGTAATTTTTAGGTAAAAGTATGAACTACTTGTATGAAAGACCTTGTATTAAATTGTCTAGCCTTAGCTATATAATATATTTTATATTTTATAAGTTTTGAACTACAAATTAACTGTCATTTTGACAAAATTTGAACTTTAAATGCTTATAAGAAATAACCATGGTGCCTATGTAGTGTTTGAAGTATGAAATATTCCACAAAAACCTGACACTTTGAAATTATTTTACACAAATAAAAACACAATTTATTTATTTTTTTAACACAATGTTCAGTGTTCTAAATTCTAATGACAGAATTCAGTATTTATACAATAAACATGTATAATATTGTATACCTACTTGTATCATTTAAACATTAAAATATTTAAAAAATTTGAATACCATTTTAAATGTATAATACCAAAGGTTAGGTATACATACAGGTAGGTACTATATAGTTATGAAGGTAATTTATGACAATTATATGTAAAATGTAAATATAAAACTTATTTAAAAATAAAACAAAATATATCAAAATACTGAAATATTTCATTTTTTTTAAATTTCATGAAATTTTCAAACACTATGCCTATGTATCGTTAATATTTTAGCTATAATAAAATAACTTACATATTACATTTTTAAGGTTTTTGACCGGATAAATATAATTATGTTATAATAATTAAATATAATTTTTTATTAACATTTATATAGAAAAAAAAATTAATTATTCAAATACAATCCAAGTGAAGATGGTATAACCAAACATTTAAATAAATTTTCATTTTTTTTTCTTCAATTATTTTTAAAAGCACTGAGAGTTTTCAATTTCGACCCCCTAAAAGTACCAACTAGATCCAATTTGCTTCCAAAAACATACACTGGGCATCGAAGCTTATGATCAGAGCATTTTTTCTACCAGAAAGTTGAAAAGTTACAAAAATTTTAAAATACCTCAAATAAACGTCTGCAATTATTAGACTGGACAAAATAAAAATGTAACTAATTTTCAAGCCCCCCCCCCCATTTAAAAATCCTGCGGACGCCAATGCCTAGGTTTACACAAAATAATTGTTTATAAGAATGTAAATAGTAAATATCTAGTAGGTATACTGGTATACAAGAAGTCACTATTAACATTCGTTGGTTTTTATCGATCAAATTTGAATTTAAGTAATACATTAAGATAGTTTGTTCACCGTTCACCAATTTAAAAAAAATAATACGTTTATTCAATTAATTGATTAATTATTTTAAAAACCTCTAAATCTTATTTGGAGTTAAGAAAAAGAAATAATAATTAATATTAGTCTAATATTGTCTTAAAAATTATCTTCACAGTTCACACCAAGTATCTATTTTATTTTATTTGTTTTAATCCTACGGACTATTTTTGATAATCTAAGGTTAGATATTTATTATTATTATTATAGAGTAATTTGGACAACTAGCTTGATAGTGATATCGATAAAAAAAAATATCTTTAATTCAGTTTAATGATTAAACATAAATTTAATGAGTCTGAGAAATTTTATTTCCTTATTGAAAATATAAATTTATTTCTTAAATTATATTTTAAAAGATTTTATTTTATTTTTTTTAAATTATATCTGGACCTTACCAATCCTTTTGTTATCGGTTTCACATACGAGAGACATAGCAAATATTCGTTCACTAGTTACAATAGTGTGCTGTGAGTTTTTATATTTAGAGTGTTTTGACCTATTATTAAACTTTTAGTTAAGAACATTATCTATGCTTAAGCGTCTGATTTTATTCCA